GATCTCGGCTGGGGTCTCCCCCCGGCGGTGCCGTCCCCTCCCCGCCCGTGTGTTCCCGCAGCCCGGTCCCGCTCGCTGCATTCCGGGGCAGCCGCCACCCAGTCCCTTGGGGACCTCCAGGCTCACCCCGATCCTAAGGAGACCTGTCCCCTCGCCGAGGGAGGCGGGGAGCGGGTGGAGGGACAGGGTGAGAGCCCCCGCCAGGTCTGCGTGTGCCCGTGGGGATGGGGGTCCCTCCTCCCTCCCCCTCCCGCATCCCGCCGGATCGGGCCTGCAGATGGGTGTTTACATGTTTGCCAGCGCTGCAGCCCCCGTCTCCCAGGGCCAGCCGCTCGCTCCAACCGTAACGATGCTCATGCTCTAATTATTTCCAATTAATGGCTCAGGGGCCTGACGAGGTGCAGTTGGGGACCCCCGCGGGGAGCGGGCACTGTTGGGGTGTGTAGAGGGGGTTGAGGCTGGAGCTGGGGTTGGCTCCTCTTCCCGTGGATGTGTTTGGGGTACCTGCCCACTGGGGCGTGGGGCAGCACCCAGGGCAGTGAGGACTGGACGGGACCGGGGTGGCGAGTGGGGGCATTGCCATGACAACACACTCACCATTACACAACCCCAGCTGGGGCGGCCTAATGGGATTTGTGTGGCTGAGCCTCCCCTGTTAACCCACTTCGTCTGCAGGACTGGGGAGTGGCTGTGACTGGGGACGTGGGTGGAGGCCCTGAGTGCAGCCAGCGCTGCTCGGCCAGGGGAAACTGAGGCACAGACCCTTGGGCAGCAAGAACATGGGGAGTGCTGTGTGGTGTGGGCAGGGTGCGGGGTACAGGCAGGTCTCAGGGTGTAAGCAGGGTCTGGGGCGCGGGCTCCCAGTTCCCTCTCACCACACAGCTCCAGTGCTGCCATCTGGGTGTGTGCCCGGCACTGTCTGGCAGTGCCTGCGGGCACAGTTGGCAAGATTGGTACTGGGGAGACAGACATGTCCATCCTTGTGCCTCCTCTCCCATCCAGAGAGCCAGACAGTGGCCAGGGGAGGCAGGGCCATAGTTGGGGCCCGTTCCATTGTGATGGTGTTGGCGTTGGGGGCAGCTGCCTGTTCCCACAGTGTGCTGCCCACAGCTGCCTCTGCCCCTGTTGCTGAGTGGATCGTTGTTGTGCAGCTGGAGGGGCATTGGGTGGGTGCAGGGTGCAGCATCCCCTCCCCCAGAGAGAAACTAGGGCAGGACTGGCTTCTCGGGGGGGGGRCTGGGGGAGGGGGCTGGGGACAGATTGGAGGGGACGCTGCCTGTGAGCCCGGCTCGGCGTGGTGCCACCCACAGCTATTTACTCTGGAGCTCCAGCCTGCTTTCTGCTGGAAATGTCACCTCCAATCCCATCTCCACTGCTGGCCTTTCCCCGTCCTTCCTTCCCATCCGTGTGTCCAGTGGTGGGGCTGGCACTGTGCCCGTGCTGGGGGCTTGGCACTTTCCTTGCCACCCCGAGGTGCAGGCAGGGTTGGGGGTGAGCTGTGAGCCCCCCGTTTCCCATGATGGTGGCATGGCTGTGGGCATCCCCACCCACCTCTGCCTGGCACCACACCAGGTGCTGCCCAGCAGATAAAAGGTCCTTTTTGGTGACCAACCTGGAGCAGCCTTGTGCTGCCTCCCTCCCATTCCCGTCATTGTGCAGCTCCAGAGAGAGCAGTGACATGGACTGGGGGGCAGTGGGGTGACAGTGCTGAGCCCCTGGGCCAGTGCTTCCTCAGTGTGGGGGTTCATCTTTCGACCTCTCCCCCAGTCCTGTGTGCTGAGCGGGTGGTCAGGATCACCAAGACCTACCACGACATTGACGCCGTCACCAACCTGCTGGATGAGGTATGTTGGACCCCCCCACCTGTGTGAGGGCTGGGGGGCTGTTGGGATCCTGGGGACACAGGGATGGGTGAGGACTGGGGAAGGGATGAGTCCTGGCTGAGGCAGACCTGCTCCTTGCAGAAGGAGCGGGACCTGGAGCTGGCGGCGCGCATCGGGCAGTCCCTGCTGAAGCAGAACCGGAGCCTGACCGAGCGCAATGAGCTGCTGGAGGAGCAGCTGGAGTTGGCCAAGGAGGAGGTAACAGCTCCTGGGCACAGGTCCAGGCCTTGGCCTCCTGTGTGCCCCCCTGGGGTGGCTGTGGTCCCCTTGGCCGTGTCCTGAAGCCCTTTGTCTCTCCAGATTGCGCAGCTGCGCCACGAGGTCTCCATGCGGGATGACCTTCTCCACTTTTACACCACCACGACAGAGGAGAGCGAGCCCACCACCACCACCTCCACACCGTGAGTGGGAGTCCCTCACTGCTGCTCCTGTGGGTTGGGCAGGAACTGTCACCACCACCAGGGTAGCCCTGGACGTGCTCCCTTCCCTCCCCTCCCTCGGCTGTGGCTCCAGCAGCACAGAGCTGAGTTGTTGCAGTTTCCTGCCTGGGTGGGCAGCCCCATCCTGCCCGCACTGCAGGTGCTCAGTGCCATCCCTGCCGTCCCCAGGCTGCGCCGGCACGAGTCCTCGCTGTCCCTGCAGCAGTACTTCCAGTACGACACCTTGCAGCAGAAGCTGAAATGCCTGGAGGAGGAGAACCAGAAGCTTCGCATGGAGGTGAGCAGAGCCAGCTGGTGGATGCCCTGCGGTGCCCACCTCTGCCCCACTCACTGCAGGGGGACCCGAGCAGCCTCCCAGGGAGGTGGGAGGTCCTGCCCATCACACTCAGCCCCTCCAACCGTCTCCTCCAGGCCACCAGCATCGCCACAGAGACCTGTCAGTATGAGGACCAGGAGCAGCAGCTGATGATCGACTGCGTGGAGCAGTTCTGTATGTGGGGCTGGGGGGTCTGCAGGCAGTGCCCAGCATCGCTGCGCGGGCTGGGGCTGGGGGGCCGTGCCCCGGCGGTGACGAACCCCGGCCCTTCCCGCAGCCGAAGCGAGCCAGCAGGTCGTTCACCTGTCGGAGGAGCTGGCGCACCGGGCGGAGGACGCGGCGCGGCAGCAGGAGGAGATCACGCAGCTCCTGGCGCAGGTCGCGGACCTGCAGCAGAAGTGCCGCACGGTGAGGGTCCCTGCCCGTGCCGGGGGTGGGGGGGTGGCGCGGGCACAGCGCCCTGACGTGCCCGCTCCCGCCCGCAGTACGGCTCCGAGGTGGAGGAGCTCCAGCAGCACCTGACTGCG